GTAGGTGCTTTCTTCCAGCTGAATTCCTATCTAGTAAAGTATAAACAGAAGATTTAGGAGTAATCACAAACCGAAACTGATTAAACTGATTTTGCTTACAAAGAAGAGAGAGAGAGAGAGAGAGAGAGAGAAGAAAAGAACATTTTATTATAAGTACGTATGAAAATTGTGTACATATATTTATGTAATTTAATTGTCTTTAAAGATAATTTTAGTGAAAAAACAATTGTCGAAAATAGGTATCGCTAAGTAGTTAGTAAGTTCCATCGAGGTAAGCTAGGTCATGTTGAAGAAGAAGCACCTGTGTGATACATAAAAAATATCTAGACAAGAAAAAAAAATGAGAAAATTGGTTGGCTCTCATGATTTCAATACAATCCTTAATTTGTAACCATAACACCTATCAATCATAGAGCCAAACCAGTCTCTTGTGTACTAAGAGGCAAAATACAGGTAAGTTTCTCATCAATTCTAGCTTCTCTTTGCCCTTTTGTGGGGCATTCACCAGCTCAGTTTCAGTTCCTTCCTCAAATATATTCTCTTCCCCGCTCATATTTTTCTATCTGTCTATCTATTTTGTGAGAGGAGAGGCGGCGGAGATCGATGGACATTTCGAGTTCTAACAACGCCTTTACCATCAAGCCGCAGAAGGCTGTAGGTCTTCACAGATTTTTGTGTATGCAAGGTGGGGACGATGATGGAAGTTACGCGAAGAATTCTCAAGCTCCTGCTTCGGCCATAACCTTATGCAAACCATTGCTTTTGACTGCCATCCAGTCGATGAAACTTTTCTTCAACAATAAAGATGAGGCGGATTCTGTAAGGATAGCCGACTTGGGTTGTGGAACTGGGTATAACACTTTGGCCACAACTGACATGATTGTCGAGAGCTTGAAGCAGCGATATCTCAAAGAGTGTGGGTTCAAGCCTGAATTTGAAGTCTTTTATTCTGATCTTCCATCAAATGATTTCAACTATTTGTTCCAGTCGTTGAATGCCTTGTTTTCTGATAAGAAAACAAGGCCTTATTATGTTGCTGGCGTCCCCGGTTCTTTTTATCATCGTCTCTTTCCAAAAGGAAAACTTCATATTGCCGTTAGCTTAAGTGCCTTGCACTGGCTCTCCCAGGTACTATACATATACATATATATATATATATATATAGCTACAAATGCATTAATTAATTCTCTGGAAACGCACATTACTCTCCATACATCATCACTTTTTACTATTTTATTGCATTTCACTACTTCGTTATTTCTTGCATCCTCAACCACAGATGTAGTTTAATGTTATATGTGGTAGAAGCTTCAAATTTTATTGTGTTCTGCGACTCCGGTCCGACGCAGGTCCATTCCGATGCGAGTTCTCCCTATTGTGGCAGAATTCCGGCGCCGGAATAGGGTGTTTTCGATTAATTTTTAAGTTAATAATGTTGGTATAAAAAGTAACAGAAGTTTTTTGATGCATTTGAATGAATGAGTTACGTGATCAGATACCAGAAGTGGTGTTGGATAAGAGATCAGGAGCATGGAACAAAGGAAGAGCATGGATCGATGGGGCAAAGAAGGAAGTTGCGGAAGCATATGCAAAGCAATCAGAAAAGGATTTGGATGAGTTTTTGAAATGCAGGAAAGAAGAGATTGCAATAGGAGGAATGTTGTTTATATTAATGGGAGGAAGACCTGGATCATGCCCTCCTGAGAATCAGTTGGGTGATCCTGACTCAAGGGCTAAACACCCTTTCAATGACTCCATGGATCAGGCTTGGCAAGACCTAGTAGATGAGGTATTTACACATCCATCCATCTCTTTTACATTTAATTAATATTCATTTTGATTCAAAGTTAATCTGATCATACAATTTAGTTTACACTCATTAGATGAATAAAAATACATAACCTAATCAAATATAGACGAGTTCCATGGTGTTGATGATGGCATCGTCGGAATTAACCAGTTTTCCACTGATGCCAACATAAATAATAAGAAACATTATGTATGATAACTTGGCTTCTTAATTATGAATAAACTTCTTTATATAATACTTGGTAATTAGAAACAAATATCTACAAGTATGCATGATGCATGTATAATAGTTTTATATGAGCATAGAACATAGAGTTTTGATCATGGTTAAATTTTTAATTAATTTCTTGCACCCCAAAAAAAATAAAAAATTAAGGGTTTGATAGAGGAGGAGACAAGAGATATGTTCAATATTCCGGCATATATGAGAAGCATGGAGGAGGTGGAAAAAGGAATGAAGAGATGTGGTGGATTTGAGATAGAAAAAATGGAGTATAGGAGAATAGTGGAGCATTCTGAAGAGAAGCAAAAGGAGTGGATGAGGGATCCGGTTTCGTACGGTAGAGCCAAGACTAACATGCTGCGGGCTGCTCTCAGGCCCATCCTTCAGGCCCACCTCGGCCCGTACCTCTCCGACCAATTCTTCAATCGCTTTGAGAAACGCGTTTCTTCTGATCTTAATCTTCTCCATAAAACTTGTTTTTATGGTGTTATAGTGGTTTTTGCAATCCGAATTTGAGACTATTAAATTAGCCTTTCAATTTTCCTTCCTTTTTGTCAACTAAAAATGGAAAAAAATAATAATTATGTAACAACCCTTTTCAGAAAAGCTTCACTCCACATGAAATGATTTATGCATTCCCATTTAATTCCATTTTCTCAACTAACTTTTTTATCTTCAAAAAAAAAAAAATCTAGTAAAATAATTGGTAATTTCCTATATCTTGGACATTGTGGGGGCCTGCAAAATGCTCAAATTAATAATTGAAAAATAATCTACCAATAAATATTGTCCAATAATATTATGCTCTTGGTTTAGTAGAAATAGAAAGATTCTTGCCAATGCCAATTAAACAGAAATGGTAGTAATAGTATAACTTGAATTGGGCAGACAAGAGATTCTTTTCTTGAAATGTACAATAATTTGATTGAATCATGATAGCCCAATTCACAGTTTTATTATAAGAAGTTTCAATAAAGAGCCATATTAATTCTGTGACTGTGAGGGTGACAAGAGCATAAATCACTTCATTTTTACCACTTTGACCAACATTAATTCTTTAATGTATATGTTTATTGATATATAAATTGAACGATGCATCGGTTCATGATTTTGTTGGCTTGCCCTTTTAAATTAAAGGACGAAAAAGAATACACAGAGTCTTACTTAGTAAGGAAATCTACATCTACTCCAAATAAGCAATGAAATCCTAGAAAACTAAATTTAAATCTTTAAATAAAATAATATCTAAAATATGTAGCGTACCTTATAGTACTCGTTAATCTAGATTTTATATCATCAGTTAATCTTTATCCTTTTTGAAGTTAAATTCTTGTAAGATTAAACGACATGTTCCCTAGCAAAATCCAAGGTTTCCACCCCTTGTTTTATAAATTCCAGATTCCTATACTTAAATTAATATTGTTTGTGATTTTTTGGATTTTGATACAATATAGATAGTGTTATTACCAAACTGCCCTTCTCCTTTTTTATTTTCTTCAATACAACTGATGTTTGTCATCAGGCTTCTTGCCGTCGATGGAGTGCGGCCTTTCATCTTTCCCAACTTTTTGCCGTCGATCGAGCGCGGCCTTTCACCTTTCCAGCCAACCACCAACCCACAAACAACTACACCCTAAAATCGTCGGCCAACAGCCATTACACTTTGCCTTTTTTTGCATTTTCCTAGACAGATCCTAGTCAATTCTCACACCGAAAATCAACAATGTCTGCACTGTTCGACTCCCCTTACTCTCCTTTTCAAAATCCATCCATCCCCCCTCGCAGTTTGTTGCATGTGATCTACACTTACCGCCACGAGACAATCACGGTTTTGAGACCCTCTCATCTGTTTTTCGTTGGGTTTTGGTGTTTGATTGGTGGGGTTTGTTGTTTTTGAAGTGTTGTTTGCAATTTTGTTACTGTTGTGTTGATTTTTGGTCGTCGACAATCCCCTCACCACTCCAACCTTGTTGTTCTATTGTTGCCCACCACCTATTCGATCATTTGTCGCAACTAGCCCCAACCCAAAGCCCATCCTTTCCTCTTGCACACGTAACTTGCGTGAAGATGGGAGGAGGAGGGGTAGAAAACTAGGGGTGGAAACATAATTATTTTGAAATTTCATATTTATTGCAATGTAAAATGACTACTTTACCATTTGACCGTTTTATTAAATAATTCCTGTTAATTTAAGGGTGAAAATCTGAAATTTATGAAACCAAGAATAGGAACATGTTGTTTGCTCTTCTTGTAATATAAATGGTTAAGTTAATGTATGTATGGGCCAAAAATTGTATTGGGCTTGACGAGGTCTAATAACGAAATAAATATGTTACGGCCTAGTGCCTTAGCCCAATCTAGTTGGACCTACACTTAAATCTACCTTGTGAACTGACTACTTTATGAGTTAGGCTATCTTACAAGTTAAGCTAAATCGGGTTTCAACCCATTAGCCCACAACGGTCCCAAAATAAGAATCAGAATCTTATTTACTTTCCACTTTAGTCAAGATCTAGAATCTTACTTTAAGTGGTAAGCATAAAGGCAAGTGATAACACGTCCTTCCTAATTGAGACTCATCTACTAGGCACGACTCAAAGTTTTACTAGGACTCCAACCTTTCTTATTCATTATATAAATAGAGGTCAAACCTTTCATTATTCATTGAGAAATCACTCACAGCTTTAGCTCCTAAATTCTTGCTCCCAAGAATCTTTGTTTTCTCCACCGTAAAGCTTAGTTTTGACTTACTTTACCATATTCAGTGACCGCAAACCTGTGCTCCGACCACTTTGTGCTAGTCTAGCCCTAGCCATATTACGGTAAACCCTTTCCCGCCCTTAGCCTTTACTAAATAACTTCAACCATGTTAACCTGAGTGTCAGAGTGCCTACAATAGTCATCACATCGGTGTCCCCCAATCCCTTACATTCATTCTCTCTCTCTCTTTGTGCAGGTCCATTCGATTATCAGTGACTCGCTTCATATAAGATCCGTCCCTTCCAAATCAATCGTAGATTTTACCGTCTATAATGTAGATGTGTTGGAACTTAGTGGTTGCTTTCAATAATGTTTTTTTAGTGGTTTTTAATATATTAGTCAATCAGTGGATTAATGCTATACATACAAACTCTTGATAACAAAGATGTATAACAATTTTTTTTTTTTATTGTAATATTAATTAGTATTTATTGAGTCAATAATTTTATATACAAATTTTTCAATTTATTTTATGTCATATTAGTTTGTATAGATATATTTTAATAATTTTTTTTGGATACAACTAGTCGTACTTTGTTAGGTATTAATTGAATGGTTAAGGTAGCGGNTGCGATCTACACTTATCGCCACGAGACAATCACGGTTTTGAGACCCTTTCATTCGTTTTTCGTTGGGTTTTGGTGTTTGATTGGCGGGGTTTGTTGTTTTTGAAGTGTTGTTTGCAGTTTTGTTACTATTGTGTTGATTTCTGGTCGTCGACAATCCCCCTCACCATTCCAACCTTGCTATTCTATTGTTGCCCACCACCTATTCGATCATTTGTCGCAACTAGCCCCAACCCAAAGCCCATCCTTTCCTCTTGCACACGTAACTTGCGTGAAGATGGGAGGAGGAGTGGTAGAAAACCAGGGGTGGAAACATAATTATTTTGAAATTTCATATTTATTGCAATGTAAGATGACTACTTTACCATTTGACCGTTAAATTAAATAATTCCTGATAATTTAAGGGTGGAAATCTGAAATTTATGAAACCAGGGGTGGGAACATGTTGTTTGCTCTTCTTGTAATATAGATGGTTAAGTTAATGTATGTATAGGCCAAAAATCGTATTGGGCTTGACGAGGTCTAATAACGAAATAAGCATGTTACGGCTTAGTGCCTTAGCCTAATCCAGTTGGGCCTACACTTAAATCTCCCTTGTGAACTGACTACTCTATGAGTTAGGCTATCCTACAAGTTAAGCTAAATCGGGTTTCAACCCATTAGCCCACAACAGTCCCAAAATAAGAATCAGAATCTTATTTACTTTCCACTTCAGTCAAGATCTAGAATCTTACTTGAAGTGGTAAGCATAAAGGCAAGTGATAACACGTCCTTCCTAATTGAGACTCATCTACCAGGCATGACTCAGAGTTTTACTAGGACTCCAACCTTTTTTATTCATTATATAAATAGAGGTCAAACCTTTCATTATTCATTGAGGAATCACTCACATCTTTAGCTCCTAAATTCTTGCTCCCAAGAATCTTTGTTTTCTCCACCGTAAAGCTTAGTTTTGACTTACTTTACCATATTTAGTCACCGCAAACGTGTGCTCCGCCACTTTGTGTTAGTTTAGCCCTAGCCATATTATGGTAAACCCTTTCCCGCCCTTAGTCTTTACTAAATAACTTCAACCATGTTAACCTGAGTGTCAGAGTACCTACAACAGTCACCACGTCGGTGTCCCCCAAGCCCTCACATTCATTCTCTCTCTCTGTGTGCAGGTCCATTCGATTGTCAGTGACTCATTTCATATAAGATCCGTCTCTTCCAAATCAACCGTAGATTTTACCGTCTACAATGTAGATGTGTTAGAACTTAGTGGTTGCTTTCAATAATGTTTTTTTAGTGGTTTTTAATATATTAGTCAATCAGTGGATTAATGCTATACATACAAACTCTTGATAACAAAGCTGTATCACAATTTTTTTTTTTTTATTGTAATATTAATTAGTATTTATTGAGTCAATAATTTTATATACAAATTTTTCCATTTATTTTATGTTATATTAGTTTGTATAGATATATTTTAATAATTTTTTTTGGATACAACTAGTCGTACTTTGTTAGGTATTAATTGAATGGTTAAGGTAGCGGAATTTAAAATTTTTTTCGATTAACACCCAATATCTCATAAAACCTTATACCGATTACATTGTTTACATGTTAAAATAAATCAAAATAAACTAGATTTGATTTCTTACCAACGATTGATGGCTCCTTCTCTATATTCGTTTATCTTGCTTTCATTCCAAGAACATGATTGGCATACAGTATCCACACGGAGACATGATTGCTAACTTCGATGTGATTTGCTAGAATCAAAATGGAGCTCTAAGGAACAAGAGAAGAATAAAAGCTCTCTCTTTTCTCTTTGTAAAAACGTGAGGCTAGGGTTAAAGTGTATGTATAAAATAAATTTTAATTGCCTTTTACTAGTAAAATAATATGATACAAAGAGTTAATTTACAATATTCTACGGTACCTACTCTAACATACTTTGGAAATGAATGAAAACGACATAAAACAAACAACTTTTGAAAAGTCAATGTATTAATTGAATTAAAAAAAAAAAAAAAAATTGAAACAATTGTCAACGTATCACTGGGGGTTCATACATTGACTTTTTTATATACCGCCCATGGTTTTCTCTAGGGTGTGTCAACTTACATTACATGGGTGGTGGTGGTGGTGATTTGAACGGTGTTGGGCTTGGTTGGGCATGCCTCAATGATGCCAACAACGGAGCATTATCAGGGATGTTGTATTCGTCGTTACGCGACTTGGCTGGGAGACAACGTTGAAACATAATAATGTCCCACGTTTTTTTTCTCCAATTCTGAGATCGGAAGTTCCACATTCCACTGTTGTCGAATGTCACCAAAATGGCCGCCCAGGAATTGGAGAAGACATTTAATGTGTGCTTGTACACGGTGTCTTTTAAATTGTAGTTACTCCTCTTCTCAGGTGTATGTTCCTCGCTCATCCTGTATGTTATAAATGTATAATTAGTTACTTGATTGTCAGAAATTGAAATAGAGTAGTAATAATTTGTACTATATACTTATGCCGTGGCAAAAAATACTATCCATTAAGAGCCATGACATGAAGTTTTTCTCAGTTTTCAAGACGATCTTACATATTTGCGGTAAGTGGCGTTGACGACAATAGGCTTGATGGAAATGCTGGCGATCTTTGGTGGTGGCTGTTCGCGGATTGCGTTGTACTGGAAAACCTTGTCAGCAACTCCAAACTACTCGGCGGGACTAGGGTGGTGGTGTTGGTGTGGGAAACACCATTTATGGCATACTAGAGCTTTCCATCGACCTTGGAAGCTTAGTTAACGAGGATGATTGTGCGAGTGGATTTGATGGAGCCATAGTGGAATGAGCCTTGAGGATTTGGTCTAGCTGCACTCGCAGTGAGGTTCCGTCGTAAGGAGTTGGATTGTTGAGCGACCAGGCCCATCCGAAAGGAGCATTAGGCAGGTCCGGTGAGGCGGGAGCCTTTATTTTCATCCCTTAGAATATATGATACATGTAAAACAAGTCACGAGCTTTCACAAGTGTAAGCCGACTCTAACCAAGATTTATAATTGTAAGTGAAATGATATGAAGAAGTATACCTAGAATAGGTTTTCTTATAATCTTCCAAAATCTTTATCTAAGCTTGTCTTTTCCTTTCTTGATATCCTTTGAATGCAGGGAAACTTCATCGCCATCTAAGTACATACTTGAGCAAGAGTAATTAGCAAAACATGCTTTGGGGCATATTAATAATTTTGTATCATCAAAATAGGAGTATGATGACTTATCGAGTCAACAGAAATGACCCCACTATTTGGAAAATATGTCATAGCCCTAAAAAAAAAAAATCTTTTTCGCCTTAGACTATTAATGCATGAAAACAAGTCATGAGCTTTCAAAGTAATAGCCAACTCCAACCAAGGATTATAATTTACAAGTGAAATGATACAGAGGAAGTTATACCTAGAATAAGTTTTCTTCAAATCTTCCAAAATCTTTATCCAAGCTTGTCTTTTTCATTCTTGATAATCCTTTGAATACATTGGAAAACTTCATTGCCATTTAAGTACACGCTTGAGCAAGAGTCATTAGAAATAGGGGTGTGCCTTGCATTTTTCTTATTTGATTAGGAAATTCGGATTAGGATGAAAGTTGATTTGAATATGATCTGATTTTTATCCAAATTTTCATGGAAAATGTCAATGTGCCCCCTAAAATTTTGCATTATTCTTTTGTACCCTTAGCCACATTGGCATTTCATCATTTGGACCCTTAAAGTTGTCATCGTATTGAACAGTCCACAAACTTTACCATGTTTCACCTAGGTCCCCGAAATAACTTCTTAAAACTTGTGGTTATGGACAAAATCAGATCGGATCCAGATATCGGTTTCTTTGCAGAGCCAATATGAAAATCCGGATCTTCCAAAAATTGATATTTGAATCCAATTAGAATTTTCGGATATCCTGTTTTTTCTGATCTGATCGGATACTTGCACGCCCCTAATTATAAAACATACTTAGGGACATATTAATTTGTTATTATCAAAATAATAGTTTGATAACTTATTGAGTTAGGCGAAATGACCCCACTATTTTGGAAAATGCGACCGTAATCTCCTTTCGTTAATCAATTTTTTTTTCTTAGTAAAAGTTATTTGATAGATAGTTTTATTTCATATTTTCATTTTCGAAAAGGTAATTTTTACTTTTTGCTTAACCTGAAGTATTTTTTTTTTTCTCCCTCATCTTTTTCTTTTTGTTCCCTTTCCCCTTTGTTGCTATACAACCACCACATCTATCTTTCGACAATTCCAGAAGCCGAATTTGGCCGCACTGCCTTAAGGCCAAATTTGAAGGCGCCGAGAGGGTAGATCTCGCCTCAAGTGACGTCCAAAAGCTTAAAGACTTACAATGCTATCGTGAGACCTCTACAGCCTTAAGAGGCTGTTGTGAGGCCTCTAGCTGCAAACAAAAGGCCAACGGAAAGTAGTGCGGCTAGTTGTGACAGTGTTGGCTCATGAATGAAGTTGATAAGTTAAAAAGTTAGAGAGGATTAAATAAAGGGTGATGAGGGTAAAAATAATCATTCTACATGTTGATTGATTTTATCTACGATTTTTAATGGAATGTAGATTAAGGTGTATAAGATTTAATAGTTATCAAATATTGCAGGCTGAAACTTCAAATTAAATCTTAGATTAGAAAAAGTAAAATAAATAAAAATAAAATATGGGATATATTTTTTGTCAAATGGAGAGAAAAAAAAAAAAAAAAAAAAAAAAGCAAAGGAGATGATTGAAAGAGGGTGGAGTTTCATCTACTTCCACTTAAGATTTGCCCCAAGTTAGAGAAAATCTTAAATTGGGACACATTGCATCATTCTAAAATTAGAATAATCGTGGCATTATCTTTAATGGTTTGTCCTGTAAGAATCAACTAAGAATAGAAAATAAAATGGACCAAGAAAAGAATTAAACCATAGACCGTTAAAAATTGAAAAGACATAGTGCCTAAGTATAGCAATAGCTAAAGGAATGAATGAGGGGAATAGCAGAATTCAAGGGCCAGCGCCAGAGGAAATAGCGAAAACTGAACGGTTGTTATTCATCTCTGGGTATATAAATAAGGTTCATTGATAGGCCATTCAAGTCTGCAGAAGAAGCTACAGCATCTTCTTCCCATCTCTAAATATATATTATATGAATATATATACATAAATACCGAGGAAGCAGGATTAATATAAAGTATACAAGACGAAAAGTTATTTACAGAGTAGAAAGAGAGATGGATACAGTAATGATATTGCTTTTAACATGCCTTATTTCAACGTTAACATTGGTGGTACGGGGTGAAGATCCCTACTTATTCTTCACGTGGAACGTGAGTTATGGCACCATCTCTCCCTTGGGAATCTCCCAACAAGCTATTCTTATTAATGGTGAATTTCCTGGACCGAATATTAACTCCACCACCAACAACAATGTCCATATCAATGTCTTTAACAACCTTGACGAGCCATTCCTTCTTACTTGGTAAGAATTTCATTAATTCTATTCTGTTTTTTATTAATCAAATTGAATATCATTTTGGACTATTATCATAAATTGAATTCGCAAAGCCATGGACGGACTCACTTTATGAGGAATAGGGCTAATGAACCAACTTAATTTTTTTTTTTCATCAATTTAGTATTTTTTTTTTTTTTTTTTTGACTGTCCTATATTGGTATTAGTGTTTCCAGATTTGATGCAACTCATTTACTTTTCCCCTATTTTAAATTATATTATTTTGAATTTGCCCTTCTCAAATTAATTCCTGGTTCTTTCTCTAACAGGAGCGGCATTCAACACAGAAAGAATTCTTGGAGCGACGGAGTTATCGGAACAAACTGCCCAATTCCTCCAGGGACGAATTACACTTACCGATTCCAGGTGAAAGACCAGATTGGTAGCTACATTTACTATCCCTCAACGGCCCTGCACAAGGTGGCCGGTGGCTTCGGTGGTCTCCGAATTAATACCCGTGAATCCGTCTCCGTTCCTTATGACAGATATCCTGAAGATGACTACACTGTCCTTATTGGTGATTGGTATACCAAGAGCCACACTGATCTCAGGAAGATCTTGGATAGCGGTCGCCCCATTGCGAGGCCTGATGGTATTCTCATCAATGGGAAATCCGGGAAGCCCGATGGACAGGGCGAGCCTCTTTTTACAATGAAGTCTAACAAGACGTACAAATATAGAATCTGCAATGTTGGGCTCAAGACCTCGCTAAACTTCAGAATCCAAGACCATAATATGAAGCTTGTGGAGATGGAGGGTTCGCACACCGTCCAGAACGTGTACGATTCTCTAGACGTGCACGTTGGGCAGTGCTATGGCGTGCTTGTGATTGCTGACCAGGCCCCCAAGGACTACTACATGGTTGCTTCCTCCCGATTCACCAAGAATATCATGACAACCACGGCAATCATCCATTATGTCGATGGCAACGGACCGGCCTCCCCGGATCTAGCCGAGCCTCCGGTTGGTTGGGCCTGGTCACTCAACCAGTTTCGTTCTTTCCGTTGGAACCTAACCGCCAGCGCTGCCAGACCGAACCCTCAGGGTTCCTTCCACTATGGTGCCATCAACATCACCCGCACGATCAGGCTCGTTAACACAGTCAGCAGGGTGGATGACAAACTTCGTTATGCCATTAACGGTGTCTCTCACGTCGATCCAGGCACCCCACTCAAGCTCGCAGAGTACTATGGAGTCGCTGATCAAGTTTTCAAGTATGACTCAATCGGTGATGAGCCACCAGCTGAAATTACAGACGTTTCACTGAAGCCCAATGTCCTCAACATGACCTTCCGCAACTTTGTGGAGATCATCCTGGAAAACCAGGAGAAGAGCATCCAGTCATGGCACTTGGATGGCTACTCATTCTTTGTCGTTGGGTAAATATAATAATTCTTACTTTCCACACCATACAATTTGTGTACTTACAGAAATTCTTATTGTTTGGTTATGTTTGACGCAATATATACAGAATTGAGCCTGGAACCTGGAGTCCAGAAAAGAGAAAGAACTATAACTTACTCGACGCAGTGAGCAGGCACACCGTACAAGTCTTCCCCAAATCCTGGGCTGCCATTCTCTTGACGTTCGACAATGCTGGAATGTGGAATCTCAGGTCGGAGAATTGGGAGAGGACTTACCTTGGGCAACAACTCTACGCAAGCGTTATTTCTCCTGCACGCTCTCTCAGGGATGAATCCAACCTCCCCGATCAAGCTCTTGTCTGTGGTATTGTAAAGGACATGCCCAAGCCCCCACCCTACAGCAATTAATAAAAGTTCCGTCCGTTGGCAACTCGAAGTTAGAAATATTTTGATAAATTAAAGAGGTTGGAAAAATTTACACCAGTGGTTTAATTATGGTGTTCTTCTTCCTCTTAAATGTTATGCCTTTTAGAATGACAAAGGTTATTAACTATAAGGTTATAGGATGTTGTTTTACTTTATTATTAATTTATTTATGATTTCTCAGTGCTTGTATTCTACCATTTCTTGAGTTACCAAATGAATTTATTGTAAACTGCAAATTACCATTACCATTACCATTACGATTTCAATATATATATATATTGTAATGCATGCACAACATTCATTCGGTTTAAAACAACTCAGCAAAATGTCTATTGTAGTTATGATATTTAAAACCAACCACAATTGACTTAGAAAATGTGACATAAATTTATTGACGGTGGTATTAAGGATTTGATTTTAGATTTTTTACATCCGGTTATGATTACGAAACTATTAATGCCTCACATGATACTTTGTTTATTGCAAGAGCCAAGTACAAACATTTTATTCGTTTCCGAAACCGGCTAAAAAACTGTATACAAGTTCTAAATTACTGTTTATATTTGTTATAGTTAACTGGCAATTACGTAAATTCATAGCTAACAAGTTGCTAAAAAAATAAAACAGTAATCCAGTATTACTATTTCCTTCATCTGCCCCAAAAACTTAAAAAAAAAAAAAAAAAAAAATTTTAAGGTTTTAATTTCATCCTTCCCCTAAATAAAAATCTGTACCAAATTAGAAACCCTAATTTGAATTTGAGAACCCTTCCCCTAAAATTGAAAAATCTCTCTCACCACCGCTGCCGCTGGTCGTCCTCTACAACCACCGCGCGCTACCGTCAGTCGCTGTTCCTCTTCCACCGGGAAGGCTTATCATTTACAAAACCCACTCTCCCACAGCCGACTGTCCTTTACCACCACCACCGCCGGCTCCACCGCCGCTCACCACCGTCATTTGCTCTTCTTCTTCCACCGCAATGCTTATCTTTTGTGAACTCAATATACATCATAAAGAAAGAAGAGGAACTTGTACAGGATGAACACTAACTGGGGTGCTAGGTATGTGATATTCTTCTCTAAATATTCTTTCAATTGCTTTCATTATTATTTGAGGTTGATTTCAAAGGGACTTGCGCTTCGGAAGATTATTGGTTTTTACTTCATAATTCGTGTAACTCTTAACCCAAAATCAACACATTCTTCGTTAGAAGTTCATGGAAAAATAAAATAAAATCATTGTAAATTTGTAATAGTGTGTAATTAGCAAGATGGGTGCGGCTAATATTTCTCTAACTGCAATTGGTCTCACCATTCTTCTACCTGTTGTCATTTGTTTTCTTGATAGCTTTAGCAGCCGCTGAAGGTAATTGTTCATAAGTTAGGTTGTAGGGGTATATGTCGCCATATCAGCTAGAATACAAGAGCTTTTCGGCTGGTTTAGGAATTAGGATTAGGGAAGTAATGTGAAACATCTAAAGAGTTTGGGGAAGGCTTTTCCTGCTAGTTGCTTGGTTACTTGTAAGAGTAGTCCAAGTCATTGTGTTGGGAAAAAAGCTCGGAACAGAATTTAAATCCTTAATCAAATACTTGGTTGAATGGAGATTTTAGACACTTAAAACACCATGGTCAATTATCCTTTCTGAAGTTTCTTTAAACCCTTTGAACCAATATAAAAAGATCAAATGATTTGACCCAAGCGTAACTTTTGGTGCAGTTATAAAATTCATGTTTTATTTGATCTGATGTTTTGATGTTTGTCATTCATTTTGTTACTGTCTTCAAAATCACAGTGATCATCATAGACAAGTTCAATTTTGTAGTGTTTTTATATAATAATGTTGTTGCCATCCTTTTGCTTCAAGTTGGATAGTTTTGCAACACATTTTCCATATCTTTGGCTATGAAAAACGTTTAGGTGTTAAACAGAATGAGTGGGCTAGCAGCATTCATTGGAATGAATACTAATTTCGTCATCTAAACGTACGACTCTGAAGGAGATGATAGCATGTTTTGCTTGATTTTTGTACAACTGTTTAATTTTTGAGATATTTGAAGACCTAGATTCTTAGCAGTTAACTAACTACCCGAACAAGCAATTTGTATAGGTTGACTCCACCATCGTGAACACCGAACATGTGATGACGGAGGACTTGATAACAGACTCTTGTGTGCTGTATGTTAAAATAAATTTGCTTAAGTTGCGCATATGAATGTATCTTCTTATAACGACATTTCTTTCTTTGTTGAAAACAGGAACATGTCAACCATTTGTGGAAATTAGGAGCGGGTTCTTTTGTGGGTGCAGCTGTGATAAAATATGGAAGCATCCTATTCACAGACATTACCAGACCCAACATCTTCTAGGCTCTCATTATGGTTTCAACTCCATGAATTATAGCTATCTGGCTTTTGATCAAGCAGAGTCGTGCTTATACATTGTATTATGTAGCTATTGTTCAAACTGTAGGGGTGTGCAAAAGAACCGGTCGGAACCGAAACCAGAACCGGCGGGTACCCGAGGTTCCGGTTCCTACCCGGAACAGGCCCTCACATGGTTGATTCTGGTTCTAGAAATCAAGAATCGGCCAGTTGCACTTCCTACAGTGCAGGAACTGAGAACCAGAACCGAAATCGTTGTCTGGGTACCCGGGGTGGAAACTGGTATTACAATAAAATATAATGAAACAATGATGGGTCATTTGTAATTTTACTTATCAATAATTCAATATAAAAAAAGGTTGATTAGGTTAGGAATTGGGGAAAAAAAATGAAATCGGATTAGAAGAAGTGAAGAACCGCCATCGCCAACGACATCAGATTTACCCCAACCTAAGCGTCTCATTCTCTATCAACCTTTGTTACTGTTACTCTATTTTCTCGAGTTTCTGCCTCTCCTTCACTCGCTGTCTTCGCTGCCACCATTGACCAACAAAGGTTTCAATTTCATGTCGTTTTTACATTTTTGTCTTCATTGTTACAAAGGTATCTTATTGCCATCTTATGATTATCTAGCTTCTGGTTTCAAGGTTTCTTATTGGGGAAATTGAAGATGGAAGAATAATAATTGATTTCTTTATTTGGAGAAATGATTGAATGGAAGAAATATTGCTAGAAGATTTATTTTATCATTGTTTTGAGGTGGGCAAGCAGGTAAGAAATGGGATAGGTGTTAGGTCTGGATCTTGTTTGTAAAATTGGGAAGGAGGTTATTGGTGGTGTGATGTTAGGAGTTTTTGCTAAAACCTTGGAATTAGTTCAGTCACGGTCATAGAGATTTATGATGGCTTCATTACTAGAGAATGAAAAATATAGAAGAAATTTTTTTCTCCTTTCTTTACTGGGTAAGAAAGATGAAGTCTTGAATGATGTTTGGGAGGCGAAGGGCAGATTCTTGTGTACTATTTGTTCTTAATCTATCACATCTTAACTTTACTGGTTAAAATAGTGTTAATAGGATCGTTAAGTCAATGCAGTGATAAGCTGATCAATTTTTTTATGCCCAAGCTTCACTTGAATAACTATGTGGTGTGAGAATTTGGGTACTGCTGTAATGCTTCCATACCTTAGTGAATGACTAAATAATTCTCAAGTATAAAATCCATAGCGAATGAATGAAATAAATTCTTTCAGCAAACAGTTTTGGATGTGGTACTTTTGATTTTTGATATGGTAAATTGTCAGGAGTCTTATGACCTCTGGAAATGAAGACATTTGAGTTTATAAGAGTACTTGTGCAACATAATAATATAGAGCAAAGACCACATTAAAATGTTATAAACATTTATTGAGATAATTACGATTCTTTGATATTTGATATTTGAAGGGTGATTGACAAATCAATAAGCCTTCAAAGTATTATATATTATTTAGATGGGATAATTTGTAATAGTTAAGGTTTATTTTCAATTTGTCTAATAGTGACCACTTGTATTTTACCGGTACCTAGTTTCAGCTATTGAGGAATCGGAACCAGAACCGGTCGGTTCCGATTCCTCAACAAAAAATTTTAAAATTAACAAATATACCCTAAAATTAATTAAGTCCCTATGGTTTGAAATTTAACAAACCCACCACAATAACAATCGGTAGTCGATTGGTTGGCAGTGTGCACACTCAAATGCAATCCCAATCACTATTGAGTTCATTCACCAGAAATCTACTCAATATGTGGTTGAAATTCGATTTCGGCAAGATCTCACCTACGCCGGTGTCGACAACTCTCCTATCACCACAAAATACTTCCCCAAACCTCCTGACCAAACCCATGTCACCCCACCTTCATAGCCTCGCCAATCGCCGGAAACTTGGCTGTTGTCGCCTTTTGTTTTTTTCGATTTCCAGTTGATTCTCTCACTGAATTAATCCATCACCACATCATTGCACTCATTGACACTTTTCCTTCAAAAGCTCATCACCCCGACCTTCAATTTTGTCCGATCATCATCCTAATTTCTAGGTTTTCGATGAATAATGAAACAGTACCGGCTTGTTGAAAACCCAGGTCCTGGTTGAACCGCCGGGCGGCTTGGTTTTAAAACACTATTCAAAGTATCGCGCATATGTAAAAAGTTCTCTAATAGTAATCCAGAAATGTCTCGATGTTAACTTAATAGAGTAGGTATTTTCAAGTTTCTCCTCCGTCTGGCAGTATTATTTTCTCAATTGAGAAATGGGGCCTGGATAAAGAAGAGAAATTATCTTGAACTTCAATAAACTTGTAAAGTAAACTCTTCAAACATCTCATGTATACAGCTGTTGCCACTTTGGCTTGCTCATACAATGAAAATCAATAAACAATAACTTTTTTAATATTTCAAATACTAAATTTCCAAGAGAGATATAAAACAATATCCAATACTGTGTAGCTTCATTTCTCCACCGCAATGCTGATAAATATCGGCTAAAGCAGTCTTAGTAACTAGTTAATCTGTAGCCTGGAAACAAAACACCTATATTAAAAAATATCATGAACCATTCAAT